TCAGGCTGGTTTCGAACTCCTGAGCTCAAACAATCCGCCTGCCTCAGCCTCCCAGAGAGCTAGGATTACAGGCGTGAGCCACTGCGCCCGGCCAGAAAATTCTTTTCTTAAGAGATCTGTGATTTTTATGACTAAGAATCCAAAGTTACCAAGCAGGTAAGTCTGTGGTGATTTGTTTAACAATAGTGTGTAAAAGTTCATTTTTTTGAAAATATTGCAGTATAGAGTAGTGGTTAAGCTCAGATATCCCATAGTCAGATTGCCTAGGTTCAAATCACAGCCCCTGCGTCTTATTAACCCTGTAACCTTAGGAAAACAATTCTATCTGTGCCTCAGTTTCTTAATCTGTAAAATGGAGGTAAAAATAGTATGAACCTTACAGGACTGTTGTGAGGATTAAATAACAGATCAAGAAAACTACACACAAGGTTTGGCACATTTTAAGTGTTCACTGTTAGCTGTTGCTGTTTTAAATAGCAAATTCCCTTAATGTGTTCTTACCTGTTTGTGGGTTCAGGTTATTAACGTGACACAGGGTGAGAGAAGGATAAGTTTAAAATGACGTGATATTGAGTAATAACCAAATGGAGGCTTGTCAGAAGAAGAGATAAGGGCTCCTGAAATTATATCTCAAGAGATATTTACAATACAGATTTCATAAGGCGTTACTGAGTACTGTCTATGTATCAGGCCCAATGCCTTACACTTTCTTGTTTATGTAACCTTCGGGTCAGCCCCGTGAGTTTAACTCCATTGTAGAGGAGGAAGTTGAAGTTTCGAGAAATAAAGGGATTGCCTAAGATCACAATGCCAGTAAATTGCAAAGGCAGAATTTGAATCATCCCAAGTATATTTCTTTATTACAGTAAATGAATTAAGAAATAATTCAATTAAACACACACACACGCGCACACACACACACACACACACCCCACATTTATTTCACATGTAACCTTTTAGGAATGTAGACCTGTGGTCAGAAATTGTGAAACTTTAAATTGGGCCAGTTCATTTTGCAGTTATAGGTTGAAGTAGGATAAAAAATACTCTCCCTCAGTAATCCACATCTTCCTATCTCTGGATTGCTGTTTGTTCGGTCCTCTTATCAAGCTAATTGTTAGTGAGGTACCACTCCAAGCAGAGAAGAGACCTCCTTCCTTCATCACTAGAGCCCCTTTTTATTAATAACTAGGTTAACCCCAAAGGAACTGGGCAACTTTAAACATCTTTGGCTTCAGTTCTTTTATATCACAAGAGTGGAAGTTGTTGGCAAAAGTTTTTGTTTGATTTAGATTTTTTTTTCTTTTTTACTTTAGGCTCTTAAACAGAGAATAGAGGTAATCTTTCAGGATGTTTGATCCCAGTAAGATTTTGGTGAATTTAGGGGAAGAAGAGTGAAGAACTATATCTTTAATTATTAAGAGGCTTACTTAGAACTTTCTTCTCTTTTTTTTACCAATTGGAAAAACCAGGATTTGTGCCTTCCAAGAACAAAAGCATATTTGCTTGGGGCTAATGATGTTTCTTTAAGAGAGTTGAATAAAGAGATCAAAGAATCATCATGAAAGAAATTAAATTGGAAGTCAGTGGGAAGTCACCTAAAGGTCATTTTGTGACTATGTATTTTTACAGCTTAATTGAGATATAACTGACACATAATAAACTGTATATGAAGTATACAATTTGAGTTTCAACATGTATATACCTATGAAACCATCATCACAATCAAGATAATGAACGCTTGCATCATGCCGCCAAATTTCCTCATGCCTCTTTGTAATCTTTCTCTCCTGTCCGTCTCTGGGACATGCTGTCCCCTTTTCCCCCCAAACCCCTGATCTGCTTTTGTCACTCTAGATTCCTTTGCATTTTATAGAATTTATATAAATGGAATCATACAGTATGTACTCTTTTTGGGGAGGGAGGGGTGTCTGGGTTTTTTTTCTAGAATAATATTTTGAGATTCATCCATG